AGTCACACTGAGTTTCTGAGCTTGTATTTGTATTTGCTCTGATAACTGCATTTGTATTTTTTCACTGGAGAAACACACACATGTGAGCATGAAAGCTAATTTTTTTCCTTTTGTTTTGTTTGTGTGTGTAATTACCAAAGTGTAGTTATAGGATTAAGTGTAGTTACAAGATGAGAGCTACGCTTGTAGCGTCCCGTCTTCCCAGTACTCTGTCCTATAACTCTTTTGAAATTACCGACAGTTTTGGCCTCCACCACCACCTCACTTTGCTTGTTCCAACCATCCACCACTCTGTAAAAGAAAAGTTTCTAATATCTTTTTGGCACCTTTCTATCCTTGATTTGAATCTGTGTTCTCTTGTTTGTTAAGTTGTTTGTTTCAAGAATTCTTCTTTGTCAATTTGGTCAAATCCTGTTAGTATTTTGTCAGTGGTGATCATATAACCTCATTTTTTTTCTATCTTCTAGTTTTGGCATGTTTAACACCTTTTGGTCTCTCCTCGTAACTCAGATCTTCAGTTCCAGAAGCCATTTCGTAGCATGCTGTTGCACCTTTTCAGTTTTAATTATGTGCTTCTTGAGATTTGGGCACAGTACAACTATTGCATATTCCAATTTTGGTCTCACAAAAGTCATGAGAAGTTTCTTTAGTATTTCACCAGCCATATAATTAAAAGCAAATCTGAAGTTGGAAAGCGACGCCTATGTTCCTCTCACAATGTTCTTTGTTGTGTTCCTTCTGGCTACAGCTTACTATCCCAAACCACCCCTAGGTCTTGTTCTATGTTAGATTTCTGTAATTCCTTTCCACATAATTTGTAAGTTGTGTGTGTGGTCTATTTTCTCCGAATCCACATTCCATAATACGACATTTATTTACATTGAATTTCATTTGCCAATTGACGTTCCAAGCACTTATTTTATCTAGAATAATTTGAAGGGAATTACAATTGTATGCATCTCCTCCCTTACCCAGTATCTTAGCGTCTTCTGCAAACATGTTTACATAATTCTGTATTCCTTCTGGTAGATCGTTTATGTAGAACATTGTAACGGGGAGGGGGGGGTGGGGGTGTAAAAATGTTGAACTAGGAAAGTAAAGTAAAGCAAAGTAAAGGTAGAAGGAGGGGAGGGAGGAGGGATGAAGGATGGGTGGATACAACATGGGGGAGGTTGAGTTCCCCCCAGAAAAAAACTATGAAAGGGAGATAGTATACTCGGAGGATCTTGTTGGTCTGACAAACTGGGTTCTAACGAAATTGTCTTTCAAGGATTTTTCTCTCTTCCATGCTAGTAGAGAAGGTTTCACAGGTTAAAGTTTCAAGCTGGGAGGTCATTGAATGTTTCCATCAGCCATGACCATATAGCATTTATTTCCCTTTGAATTGCTCCTGATGCCATTACAATATACTGTACATTGCTGTAGTATCGTCCTTCTTGAGATAGCTGGGCATCTGTGTTTCCTCAAGAGAAGCAATTTCTTGAAGCAATTCACATAAGAATAGAACAACCTACCATGAACACCCAAATCACGGAACTGTTTACTCTACCCACCATGAGAGTAAGGACAAGACTAGAACATAACGATGCCAACACAGAAGACACTGTTCAACATAACAGGCCAATTACAACTGATTAATCTTTGTATGTAGATAGGAGCTGCCTCGTATGGGCCAATAGGCCTTCTGCAGTTACCTCTATTCTTATGTTCTTATGTTTCACCCCCCATTTATCCCTTATGTATCCTCCATGTTTTCACCTTTATTGTCTTATCACCTGACCCAGTGCGGGTATACATCAACCAGTTCTGAAAATTCTTTTCACTTGAGAATGAACCATGGAGGTTCGAAACGTTGTGCAAATTGTATAAATAAGTAATACATTCTATAGTAATTCACTTCTTTTCTTCACCTTGAAATTACAAAAATGGGTTTTGGAGAACTCCTCTTTCAGCTAAGCCCTGATGCTAAGAAAATAGTTAGAGGGATAGAAGCCCTAAAACAGAAGATAGTAAATACAGAATATGCGGTCACATTCAATTTGATACATATATATTATATACATATATATATATATATATATATATATATATATATATATATATATATATATGTTTGTTTACATATATATATATATATATATATATATATATATATATATATATATATATATATATATGTATATATATATATATGTTTGTTTACATATATATATATATATGTATATATGTATATATGTATGTATGTATGTATGTATGTATGTATGCATGTATGTATGCATGTATGTATGCATGTATGTATGCATGTATGTATGCATGTATGTATGCATGTATGTATGCATGTATGTATGCATGTATGTATGCATGTATGTATGCATGTATGTATGCATGTATGCATGCATGTATGCATGTATGTATGCATGTATGTATGCATGTATGTACATATGTATATGTACATGTATGTATGAGAATGTGTACATGTATATATAACAATAATAATTTGGTAACTAGCGTAAAAAAATTGTTATTTGCTTAGCTACACAAACTAGAGGGTTCAGTTCCTGAACCGGTTATGTGCCTCTGTAATCCTTTACACCACCGCCCACGGGATGGGTATGGGGTGCATAATAAAGAAATTGAATTCCTTCTATTGATACTCATCCCTTTGTAGATGTCCCTCCCATCCCTCATATTTTAGACGGGCTCACCATACCCCATGCTACATGGACATTTATTCTTAGTAGCTAAATCTAAAACAACAACAACAATTCCCTCATCACAATCGACTTGAGAATGGCCCAGGATGGACTGAAACGTCTTCGTCTCTTCACTTTCCAGTGTGTGATTTGGTCAACACATTCTACAGTTAATTTTAATTCTTTTAGTTACCTTAAACAAGGATGACATTTGGAGGAATGTTCTTCCAATTAAACCAAGATGCAAGAGCACTAGTCAAAGGTATAGAAGCCAAAAACAAGAAGATAACCAACACAAAATATGCAGTTAAATTCAATGAAACATATCTAAATGAAAACCTGCTGCCAACCAATATATACATAAATACATACATACCTGTATGTAAATGCTTTGGTAAGCTTGTTATTCCAAAATGCCACCTTCCTTTTATGAATAAATACAGCAGAATCTCGGTTGACGACTGCACTAGAGTACAAATTTTTTGGTACAGTATATGACATCAAATTTCTTGTAAAATTTAAATTGGTATACGATGGTTTACTTGGAAGACGATGTCTGTTCATACGCATATCAGTCGAATGAGCGCGTGGTGCTGGGGATGGGGGGGTTCTCAGTTTGTTTACAAGTCTTATCCCACGTAGTGACGACCATGGCCGTGCTTGAATTCTTTGTTAAGAATTTCATTGTTTGCCTGTTTTTTTTTTTTTTGCTTTTTTTTTTAACATAAAAGTTGTTATTATTTATCACGTCATGGGTCCCAAGAAAGTCAGTAGTAAAGTTCAACCTAAGAAAATAGTTGTGAGGATGACAAGAGGAAAAACCAAGAGATCATTCGTAAATATGAAAATGGTAGGAGTTGTTGATGTAGAGTAGAGGATGTCCCTTCCTCATTTATTAAGAAAATGTGTGCAGTATGGGAAGAATTGCAGTTTTGCTGAAAAGTGTCACTCAAATCAAGTTGTAGCAGGCCATTGTGCTAACCTTTTTAATGACAATGTGATGTCTCACTTCAGACAAGTGTTACAGCGTAGGGAAAAACCAAGTGTTGCTAGACAGGTTTTTGGTGAAAAAAACAAGCAGTGAGCCACAATCAGGTCCTAATGGTACGCAGGCAAAACATAGAGGGGGTACCCTAAAAAAGTCATCACTGCCTGATGTTATAGTGGAAGGAGACTCCCCTTCCAAACACTAACACCTCTCCTCCTCCTCACTGTCTTCCGTAAGCCAAAGAGAGTCCTCATTCAAGGTAAGATATACACACTGTACTGTAGCTAGAACAAAACGTGTGTTATTCGGTATAAAATGTATTTTTAATTAAATATTTTTGGGGGTGTGGAACAGATTAATTTAATTTACATTATTTCATACGGAAAAATTCGTTTTGGTTGACAAATTTTTGGTTGACGCTTTTCTGGGAATGGATTACGATCGTAAACAAAGGTACCACTGTGTAAGTATTATCTGGGATGAGAATGACTGCATTTTATTCCCTTTCTAATTCTAGTATGTCTATATTCCCACAGAGTTTAGATATCCTCTGCTAACATTCCAAAACGAAACCATTATAATGATGTGCCAAAAGAAAAATATGTCGTCGGTACACACACGGAAAGCATAATCTGAGAAATACAGTGACAGTTGAGAAAAAGATACATTTCTTTGATGAAGCCACTAAAGGGTGCCTCAAAATATGACTACCCAGGGTCCCCAGCAACAGTAACACCACTACTGTTTCAAGTCAAATGTACCAAACATATTCATTTACCATTTCAACATAAGATACGATATGAACATCTCACATTATTATGTACCTGCATCAAGGGCACCATGGAAAAGTGGTGACCACAAACAAATTTCACAAACGATTAAACACAAACAGGTGTGCACATCAAAGGTGCTATGTATATTTCACCGGCAATTTCTCATATAAAGTGGGGATGAATCAAATGTAATGTAGCTATTTATTTTATCCATGTGTACTTTCAACTTACATGTGGCAAAGCAAGTACGGTATAAGATTCCTTCATAATACTATGGTACTTTATCTACAGTTACTTGAACATGTAGCCCAGTCATAATGTAGGGTCTATGTCATAACACAGGACTTGTCTCCATTCTCTTATACTGTATTGTTAACTATACAAGTCTTTTCTAGTAATGATCTAATATTTTCTGCACATCACATGTTTTTCAACATTTAACACATCTACTTTTTGCAATAAGAGAACATTGTACAGTGTATATTATCATTAGTTAAAAAGTATTACTGTAATACTAAGCACTACAAACTAGTATCTTCACTCTACCTGTATTTGGTCGACCATTCGCATTTGGCCTGGCCGAGGCAGCTCCATCTCGAGCTTCCACTTCTAAAGCATAAGCTTGCTTTTCTTCTCGATCAAATTCTACTCTTGTGAATATTTCACCTGTGCGCTCCCTGTAAGAAAATTGAATAAGCAACATTATTTACTATACAGATGGATACAATAAATTAAAGGAAAGAAAATTTGTATAAAAATTTTGAAGATGGCACATTAACCCTTTGATAACAGCCCTTCTACTTCAGTCCCATATTTTTCTTGGGAGTAAATAAGGCTAAAAAAAAAAAAAAAAAAAACATTGAATGTAATAAATCGCCATTTTCAGGGCGAGTCCAGTAGGCTTCCCGGAGCTATCCAGGCTGAATGGATATGTATAACTTTCTGGCATCAGTCAATGTGCTTGGAGATCTTGCCTACAGGGGACAATGAGCCAGAACCTGGCCCCACTCAAAGAGGTACGAGGAGCAATGGCCTCTAGAAACTCCCATGTGGTTGGGAGCATTCTTTGTCTGCCATCGACCAGGTTTGACACCCAGACTGGCGGGTCTGGGGTCCCAAAACAAACCCCCTATTCTGGTGAAACTATTGCTACCAAAAGCCGAACGAGTGGAAAGAACTCTCCAAACGAAAATAGCAAACTAGCATGATGTCATCAAGTTGCCGCACCGCTGTCTGCACAACCCCCTCCCTGGCAGGGGGAAGGGGGAGCCCCAGACCCCCACACTGGCGAACCAACTATCAGTTCTTGGGCTGGATGTCAAAATATGCGAGAAAAAAAACGCCGCCCAGGAGGGAGGGAGAGATGCTGGGGAGCCTCCGGGACTCACCCAGAAAATGACGTTTCATTACATTCAATGCTGGTTTTCAGGGGGATGGGGGTGAAGGAGGAGCCCCGTCGGCTCCCCGGAGCCAACTACCCACAGACGGAAAAAAGAGGGAATTACCCCTGAGGCAGTCAGTCCTCACTCCTCAACGCGAAGTCGAGACAACTGGCTGCAACCACAACCCAAAGCAACGCAGGCCCGACTAGGCTCAGGAACAGTCACAAGATAGTGTGCAGCCAGGACCCTCTTCGATTGCCAAAAACCCCATGCCTGAATGTCAACCCAAGACATGTTGCCAAAGGCGGCAGCCAAGGCAACAAACTTACGAACATCATGGGCACGGGGGTAGAATGCAGGCTGGCTAGACTTAATAACCTTGCGGACGAACTGAGAGAACCGAGCCCGGGAACAGGGAAGGAGGGAAACCGGGTCAACCCACAGTGCATCCCTGGCCACCAAAGCCATGGCGCATATGTAACGGCGGAGAGCCACAACCCAGACATAACACATGATGCACCCCCAGCCTGACCAACATCAAGGGCATCAACAACCCAAGGACCACCCCGGAAAGCAGCCGTCTCATTCTTCACCAGAAAAGAAGGAAATAGCGGCAACCTAACAAACCTACCACCAGGACTGAAGGAGCAAAAACCTCCACGCTGGAGGAGGGCATTAAGCTCCCTAACCCGACTCCCAGAAGCCAATGCCAACAGGAAAAAAGAGCCCTAGAAAAACAAACCTGAACCGAAGGGGCCACAACAAACTGAGAAGGAGAGAGAAAAGAGAGCACCCGGTCCAAAGACCAGGACAGCTCAGGAGGCGCATGAGCAGGCTGGAGGTGAAACAACGCACGCGATAGCTTACAGAATGGGGCAGAAGTAAAATCAAGCATTACCGAACTCAAGCTGGACCCCCCTCGGTTCAGGCACTGAACTCCCAGGGAACAGTCCGAATGGAGCCTGATCGTAGATCTACGAGCGATCCGAACCCTCCGGAGGACATCCACACCACCGCGAACTCCCACACTGTCCTGTGAGCACGACGGAATTATGGACCCCCACTGAACCTGGCCGGCTTGGTGAACACTAGTCACAAAGCCCCAGCCGAGAGACAATGCGTCCGTGAACGCATCGAGCGACGGCTCGGGTAGGCGCCAAGGCACTGAACCCCGAAAAACCTGAAGAGGGAGCCGGCAATGCAGCAACCGACACAAAGCCCCCGGAGGCCGAACACAGTGGACACAAGAGAGGTGGAAGGGACATCCCCCTAGGAACTAGAACAGCCGACAAAGCCACACCCGACACGGCAGGCAGACCATCATGGCAAATTTCAGGCTCCTGCACAAACCCTCAAGCAACTGCCGCATGACACAGGAGCCCCTCAGGAACAGATGAAGGCGGGAATGCAGGTGTAGCAGAGCTGCCAGAGGCAGAGACAAGCAAGCGGTCCACCACCAGCCAAAAACAGATTGAGGCAGGTTGTGGGAGCCAAAGTGGGGCAAAAATGCTACTGCATGAAGCTAGCAGCAGAAACCAATGCACTTGAACCACTAACTGCCAAAAGCCTCCTCAGACCTCAAAAACTGCCACCCCTGAAGGTAAGTGCATCCTGGGACACAGCAATACATTCTCCACTCAGGCTCTGAACAAAGAGGAAAATTACACAAAACCAGAAAAGTTGGGAGAACTGCATGAAGCCCAATAGCTCCAGGAGACAGGCCCCATGAACCCTATATAAAATTAACAAAACAACTGGCAATCCATCCATGTCCACTTCCAAATCCGGCCTATCCAAAAGTTGTATTTGTCAAAAGAAACATACTGTGCCTAGAATAAAGCAGAGTATGTGATGCAAGTAGGGAAGGTGGCTCAGCTGGCCTCATAATCAACCTGTCTGGGGCATCAAGGAAAAGGAAGTAAACCCAGTACCAAACCAACCGCCCACCAGGGGTGGGCTGCTTGGATTCAAGTGAACCAAAAAACCTGACCTACAGCCCACTTACAGTCAGAGAGCAATCCTAGAACAATGGTTAAAGAACCCCCCCCCTCTTTTACACTTGCTCTCACATGCCTTGAGGGAAGCATGGGAAAGAGCATGCAGGTAAAACAATGGAGGTAGTGCTAGTGCAAAAGACTGTGTAAATCTTTACATAAAATTCACAAATACAAAAGTTGTTTTTTTATACTATGTTATTATGTATGTAAGAAGACATTACCATTACTTAGTAAGACATAATACCACCACATTAACACCAGGTGCTCATGTGAACAAGATAACATCAGCAGCATATGGGAAGTTAGCAAATACAAGAACCTCATTTAAGGGTCTAAACAAAGAGGCTCTAAAGTCCATATACACTGCCTATGTGAAACAATTACTTGAGTATGCAGCACCAGCATGGAACCCACACCTCATGAAGCGTAAACAGAAGCTTGAGAATGTTCAAAGGTTTGCAGGTAGATTAGTACCAGAATTGATAACTACATACAAGAGTGAGAGGAATAGACAAAGACAAGGGAAGCCTATTTAAATTAAAAAGGGGTAGGACAGGGTGGAAGCTGGATAATGCATCAGGTATAAATGGCTGAGAGGCAGGGCAGAGAGAGTTAGATCCCACTCCCCCCCCATAGTCACACATAGGTAGCAGGTTTCCTTCTCTTATTCTTACACCATCACCGGTCCTAAGGGAACCGGTCGGCCGAGCGGACAGCACACTGGACTTGTGATCCTGTGGTCCTGGGTTCGATCCCAGGCGCCGGCGAGAAACAATGGGCAGAGTTTCTTTCACCCTATGCCCCTGTTACCTAGCAGTAAAATAGGTACCTGGGTGTTAGTCAGCTGTCACGGGCTGCTTCCTGGGGGTGGAGGCCTGATCGAGGACCGGGCCACGGGGACACTAAAGCCCCGAAATCATCTCAAGATAACCTCAAGATTACCACTTACATGCCACTGTGTGTGTGTGTGTATATGTACCAACAGAGGAAGCTGCATGCACACAGGTAAAAATTCATGACTCAAAACACACAATAATCCTGTAACCTTACCTGATCTCATAAAAATCTCGACCCTCATTTCGAGGACTGTCTACAATTCGATAGAGAACCTGAAAAAAAAGAAATAGCAATATTAATAATAATAATAGTAATACTGTAGTACCTTTATAAAAAGAAAGTCTTCTACCATAATATAAAAAAAATATATGCCATCAATGGTCTACAAAGCAAACAATTTAATTAATACAGGACCTAAAACTATTAAATGTAGAACAACTTCAAACAAACTCTACGTATAGCCTACAGGAGATGGAGCACTGTACCAGAATCCATGAAAAGGCACACTGGAGCCCATCTGCTATCTTAATAGTGTTGTATTTCTCTTTCTTATCTGTTATCAGGATTATTAATCACATTAGAACATCATGACTAAGATGGTAACACTGCTGGCCCTGGCCAGGGGGGAATCAAGATAGTGAACTTTCATGAAAGTTCACTATCCTGATAAGAGAAAGAAATGTGACTTTTTTTTATTATGTTTTCATCACCTTTGGTCACTTTTAGTCACTTTTGTGTTTATGAACCGTCATTGTAACTCTAGCTTCTTGTTCAAAATAAAGCTTCTGTTTTCAAGTGGAGCTCAATCTTATTTCAGAAATGGTTTGTCCATCCTAGGACTGATCATATACTTTGTTTTGAAATGTTGTTACCTCCAGGATTTTAGTCAGAATCACTCTCTCTTTTCCTTTACATTCACACTATGGTGCCTTGCAATATTACATGTGAAGGCTACCAATGCTGCTCTGCAGCAGTCAAGCTGTGTCAGCTGCAGATGTATCTATAGGTGCATGATCCTTGGAAGTTTGCCATTCAAGGCATTCTTCTCTTTTTATGTCAACCTCTCATATCTGATTTCAGTTTCCTCTGGAGGGCCAATCAAGCATTCATCACCAGATGCCTGCCAAAGGATTTTCAAGATGCCCCATTAATATGTTGCATTTTGACAACTTTCCTCCAGTTGGTCCACTCCACTCTTGCCAGTCTTGTGGAGTATAAATAATTTGGTCAGAAAACTACTTGGTGATCCCTGTGATGCCCAGGAGGGATCTGCATGTTCCCCAGCTGATTTTTTGTAGTCACTCTAGATTGGATTGAGCTATTCTACAATGCCATCCCAGCCACCAGTATAATTCGTTGCCATGTTTGAAAAGATCCCTGTGATTGGGCGAATATAAATAGGAGCCGACTCATATGCGACAATAGGCCTTAGACTTCATTTTTTTTCTTATGTTTTTATTGATTGCAGTGATATTCTCCAATGGAACATTCAATAATCAAGCCTTGGAAGCACCAACTGTCTTGCTCAGGAAGTAGATTTCCACAATTATCAAATTGTGTTGTGCAGGAATAGGTAAATCATTATGAATATTTTTTGTTATCCAATGGCAATATATAGTTTAAAATAGCATAAAACACACAACTTCACTTTTAAGATAGATTAATGGGTAAAATATCTCATTTCCTGAGATAATATATTAAAATATTATTAAGATTCAATCCCTATTTTACTTTGCAAAAATTAATTAACTCCGCTGCATCATAATGACTAGATGGAAAACACTGTTACTTTCTTGATGTCACGAGTCCTCAGTAGGGGTAGTCCGCTGACTTGCGACATTTTAAGTCTGAATCAGAGCAGAAAACAAATAAACAAATCCACAAGGGCCGTGACGAGGGTTCGAACCTACGTCCGAGAGGATCCCAGATGCCAGACTAGGTTTGAACCCTCGTCACGACCCTTGTGGATTTGCTCATTTGATGCATCATGCTATTGTGATTTTTGTGTGTAAGAAAACATATTCACTACTGCAATTGATTTGCAATCAAATCAACTTACAGTACAGTATTTTCTTTTATATGGCAATGACAACTTTATTTATACTAATTTCAAAATAGTAGTTGCATATGACCTATTAGTTAATCTGGTAATTTTTTTTTACTAGGAAAATGATTAATTGGATTATCTAACTGGCTGGCAAAATTTTGTAATACTTTACCAGAATTCTCGCCTAATTCTTTGTCCCACAACTTAAGATTCTCTGTGCCGACGGGATCCTTACCCAACTAAATAATCAACAAAGACATAATAAGATGTAATTTAATTGCATACAAAATATAAAATTAGGCACGTACTTCATTATTTGGATATGTTCCATCCTTGTCGATAGCATTGACCTGTGTGACCTTTGTTCCTATTGGTTCACCTTCAAGGACGGTTTCCTGTTCACGTTCAGTAAACAGTGGAATTTCATCATTAACATCCTCCAAAACTACATATATAGTAGCTTCTGAGGCTAATTGTTGTGGACCATTATTCTGTAAGTCAAGAAATGATTCATGTTATGAGTGGCAATTAGATATATACTCAACATCAAAATATAGTATCTGCTTTGGCGGAGGTTGTCAGCACTGGAGCTACTCGGGGAGGACACCATCACTGGAGCTACTTGGGGAGGACACCAGCACAGGAGCTACACTTGGGGAGGACACCATCACTGGAGCTACTTGGGGAGGACACCATCACTGGAGCTACTTGGGGAGGACACCAGCACAGGAGCTACACTTGGGGAGGACACCAGCACTGGAGCTACTTGGGGAGGACACCATCACTGGAGCTACTTGGGGAGGACACCAGCACAGGAGCTACACTTGGGGAGGACACCATCACTGGAGCTACTTGGGGAGGACACCAGCACTGGAGCTACTTGGGGAGGACACCAGCACTGGAGCTACTCAGGGAGGACACCATCACTGGAGCTACTTAGGGAGGACACCATCACTGGAGCTACTTGGGGAGGACACCATCACTGGAGCTACTTGGGGAGGACACCATCACTGGAGCTACTTGGGGAGGACACCAGCACTGGAGCTACTTGGGGAGGACACCAGCACTGGAGCTACTTGGGGAGGACACCATCACTGGAGCTACTTGGGGAGGACACCATCACTGGAGCTACTTGGGGAGGACACCATCACTGGAGCTACTTGGGGAGGACACCATCACTGGAGCTACTTGGGGAGGACACCATCACTGGAGCTACTTGGGGAGAACACCATCACTGGAGCTACTTGGGAAGGACATCAGCACTGGAGCTACTTGGGGAGGACATCAGCACAGGAGCTACACTTGGGGAGGACACCAGCACTGGAGCTACTTGGGGAGGACATCAGCACAGGAGCTACTTGGGGAGGACATCAGCACAGGAGCTACTTGGGGAGGACATCAGCACAGGAGCTACTTGGGGAGGACATCAGCACAGGAGCTACTTGGGGAGGACATCAGCACTGGAGCTACTTGGGGAGGACACCATCACTGGAGCTACTTGGGGAGGACACCAGCACAGGAGCTACTCTTGGGGAGGACACCAGCACAGGAGCTCCTCGGGGAGGACACCAGCACAGGAGCTACTTGGGAAGGACACCAGCACTGGAGCTACTCGGGGAGGACACCATCACTGGAGCTACTTGGGGAGGACACCATCACTGGAGCTACTTGGGGAGAACACCATCACTGGAGCCACTTGGGAAGGACATCAGCACTGGAGCTACTTGGGGAGGACATCAGCACAGGAGCTACACTTGGGGAGGACACCAGCACTGGAGCTACTTGGGGAGGACATCAGCACAGGAGCTACTTGGGGAGGACATCAGCACAGGAGCTACTTGGGGAGGACATCAGCACAGGAGCTACTTGGGGAGGACATCAGCACAGGAGCTACTTGGGGAGGACATCAGCACTGGAGCTACTTGGGGAGGACACCATCACTGGAGCTACTTGGGGAGGACACCAGCACAGGAGCTTCACTTGGGGAGGACACCAGCACAGGAGCTACTTGGGGAGGACACCAGCACAGGAGCTACTTGGGGAGGACACCAGCACAGGAGCTACTTGGGAAGGACACCAGCACTGGAGCTACTCGGGGAGGACACCAGCACAGGAGCTCCTCGGGGAGGACACCAGCACAGGAGCTACTCGGGGAGGACACCAGCACAGGAGCTACTTGGGAAGGACACCAGCACTGGAGCTACTTGGGGAGGACATCAGCACAGGAGCTACTTGGGGAGGACATCAGCACAGGAGCTACTTGGGGAGGACATCAGCACAGGAGCTACTTGGGGAGGACATCAGCACAGGAGCTACTTGGGGAGGACATCAGCACAGGAGCTACTTGGGGAGGACACCATCACTGGAGCTACTTGGGGAGGACACCAGCACTGGAGCTACTTGGGGAGGACACCAGCACAGGAGCTACACTTGGGGAGGACACCATCACTGGAGCTACTTGGGGAGGACACCAGCACTGGAGCTACTTGGGGAGGACACCATCACTGGAGCTACTTGGGGAGGACACCAGCACTGGAGCTACTTGGGGAGGACACCATCACTGGAGCTACTTGGGGAGGACACCATCACTGGAGCTACTTGGGGAGGACACCATCACTGGAGCTACTTGGGGAGGACACCATCACTGGAGCTACTTGGGGAGGACACCAGCACTGGAGCTACTTGGGGAGGACACCATCACTGGAGCTACTTGGGGAGGACACCATCACTGGAGCTACTTGGGGAGGACACCATCACTGGAGCTACTTGGGGAGGACACCAGCACTGGAGCTACTCGGGGAGGACACCATCACTGGAGCTACTTGGGGAGGACACCAGCACAGGAGCTACACTTGGGGAGGACACCATCACTGGAGCTACTTGGGGAGGACACCAGCACAGGAGCTACTTGGGAAGGACACCAGCACTGGAGCTACTTGGGGAGGACATCAGCACAGGAGCTACTTGGGGAGGACATCAGCACTGGAGCTACTTGGGGAGGACATCAGCACAGGAGCTACTTGGGGAGGACATCAGCACAGGAGCTACTTGGGGAGGACATCAGCACAGGAGCTACTTGGGGAGGACATCAGCACAGGAGCTACTTGGGGAGGACATCAGCACAGGAGCTACTTGGGGAGGACATCAGCACTGGAGCTACTTGGGGAGGACATCAGCACTGGAGCTACTCGGGGAGGACACCATCACTGGAGCTACTTGGGGAGGACATCAGCACTGGAGCTACTTGGGGAGGACATCAGCACAGGAGCTACTTGGGGAGGACACCAGCACAGGAGCTCCTCAGGGAGGACACCAACACTGGAGCTACTTGAGGAGGACACCAGCACAGGAGCTACACTTGTAGAGGACACCAGCACTGGAGCTCCTCAGGGAGGACACCAACATTGGAGCTACTCGAGGAAGACACCATCACAGGAGCTACTTGGGGAGGACACCAGCACTGGAGCTACTTGCAGAGAACACCATCACTGGAGTTACTTGGGAAAAACACCAGCATTGCAGTTACTTGGGGAGGATATTCAATTTGGATGGCTTTCATGTTCATTGCTCTAATTATTAGTTTACAAACTGTAGTGTTTGTGTTCAGTAATTCAATTTATGCCCACATAAGTGATAAAAGCAGTGACTGAGCACTGTATTACAGGCCAACAATGTAATATGTACACTTATTCTGTGTAACAGCTTAAATTAAGTGTCTTTCAACCCACCTGTTTGTTGTGGTACTGTCTAGGGAAGTGCTCTAGACATAGGATTTAAATATAGGAGGGAAAGACCTCAATTCATGACTTGATGATAATTGCAGGCCCCAGGTACATGATAACCTCATCCCATGATAACATTTACAAACAACAGTGAAAATTGTTCATGGGCCTTGTGTAACTCCATTGCAACCACAGATATAGATATATTATAGCCATTCTCTATTTACATCACTGTATAAAAAAACCAGCATTGAATGTAATGAAACGCCATTTTCTGGGAGAGTTCCGGAGGCTACCCGGAACTATCCAGGCTGAATGATATGTATAACTTTCTGGGCGTCAGTCAATGTGCACGGAGTTCTTACCTACCGGGGACCATGAGCCAGAACCTAGCCCCCCCTCAAGAGAAGCACGAGGAGCAATGGCCCATAGAAACTTCTGTGTGGTTGGCAGCATTCTATATCTGCCATCAACCGGATCTGGCACCCAGAAAGGTAGGCACCCCAAAACAAACCCCCATTCTGGTGAAACTATTGCTACTGAAAGCCAAACGAGTAGACAGAACTCCCCAAACGAAAATTAGCAAATGAGCATGACGTCGTCATGTCGCCACGCAGCTGTCTGCGCAACCCCCCCCCCCCCTGGGAGGAGGAACGGGAAGCCCCAGACCCCCCAAGCCAGCGATCCTCCCTGCTGTTCTAAGCCTGGATGTCAAAATAAGTGAAAACACCGCCAACCAGAGAGAGAGAGGGAGGGAGGGGAGGGAGGGAGGGAGGGAGGGAGGGAGGGAGGGAGGGAGGGAGGGAGGGAGGGAGGGAGGGAGGGGAGGGAGGGAGGGAGGGAGGGAGGGGAGGGAGGGAGGGAGGGAGGGAGGGAGGGAGGGAGGGGAGGGAGGGAGGGAGGGAGGGGAGGGAGGGAGGGAGGGAGGGAGGGAGGGAGGGAGGGAGGGAGGGAGGGAGGGAGGGGAGGGAGGGGGAGGGGAGGGAGGGGAGGGAGGGAGGGAGGGAGGGAGGGAGGGAGGGAGGGAGGGGGAGGGAGGGGAGGGAGGGAGGGAGGGGAGGGAGGGAGGGAGGGAGGGAGGGAGGGAGGGAGGGGAGGGGAGGGGAGGGGAGGGGAGGGGAGGGGAGGGGAGGGGAGGGGAGGGGAGGGGAGGGATGCCGGGGAGCCTCCGGGACTCACCCAGAAAATGGCGTTTTATTACATTCAATGCTGGTTTTCTGGGGGAAGCCCTGTTGGCTCCCCGGAGCTAACTACCCAAAGACAAGGAAAAACAGGGACTTACTCAGGCGGCAGCAATCAGTCCTCACTCCTCAACGCTCAGCCGAGACAACTGGCTGCAACCGCCGACATAATGCAACGCAGGCCCAACGAGGTCCAGGAACATTAATATTATAGCGAGCGGCCAGGACCCTGTTCGACCTTCAAAAACCCCATGCCCAAATGTCAACCCAAGACATGCCAAAGACGGCAGGTAAAGCAGTAAACTTAAGCACGACGTGGACACGAGAATAGAACACAGGTTGCCTAACCTTAATAATCCTGCAGACGAACTGGGAGACCCAAGCCTGGGAACAGGGAAGAAGGGAAACTGGATCAGCCCACAGCGCATTCCCGGCCACCAAAGCCGTGGCACGCAAATAATGGTGGAGAGCCGCAACCATGCACAAGACATGATGCACCCATGGCCTCACCAACCAATCATCAACAACCCAATGACCCCTCTGGAAAGCAGCAGTCTCATTCTTCGCCAGCAAAGAAAGAGACAACTGCAACCGAACAAACCTACTACCAGGACCAAAAGAGCAGAAACCCCTGCGGCGGCAGAGAACATGAAGCTCCCTGACCCAACCTCCCAGAGGCCAATGCCAACAGGTAAAGAGCCTTGGATAAACAATCCTGTACCGAAGGGACAACCACAAACCGAGAAGAGTTGCAAGAGGGCACCCGGTCCAAGGACCAGGAGGGCTCAAACGACGCGTGAGCAGGCCGGAGGTGAAACAACGCACGAGACAACTTGCGGAATGGAGCAGATGTAACATCAATACCGAACACAAGCTGAAGTGTCTCTGCCAGTGCCGCACATTAGGAGGCGACAGTATTTGGCATAAGATGACTGTCCTGAAACAACCACGAAAGGAAGATCAAAACAACCCTATCAGAGACCGAAGTACAAGGGAAGCCGGTCGGCCGAGCGGACAGCACGCTGGTCTTGTGATCCTGTGGTCCCGGGGTCGATCCCAGGCGCCGGCGAGAAACAATGAGCAGAGTTTCTTTCATCCTATGCCCCTGTTACCTAGCAGTAAAATAGGTACCTGGCTGTTAGTCAGCTGTCACGGGCTGCTTCCTGGGGGAGGAGGCCTGGTCGAGGACCAGGCCGCGGGGACACTAAAAGCCCCGAAATCATCTGAAGATAACCTGAAGATAACACCTACGCAGTGATAGGAAAAACAGGGAGGACCGCCAGGAAACCTCTTACTGCCGCTGAGACAAAGCACACAGATGGGAGACCAACAACGAAGCCACCTGAAGGGGACTCCCCCGAGACTGCCCGAGTCTCAACACCAACTAAACCCTGCCCTGACTCCAAAACCCTCAGACGCTTCGGAACTAGAAGCAACGGAAGAGGAATCGGATGGACAACAGAAGGGGAAAGACAAGGAGGGGAGAACGGAACCAGAGCCGAAGCGTTTCCCACCCCCCAAGTCCAGGTCCATAAAACCAAAATGGGGCCGTCTCGGGGGCATCTGGAGAAGCAACTAACCTAGGGCGTTACAGCTACCTAAACCTAGCATGCAATGCAGCTGCTGCCTGCACCCTCATATCATGATCAGTAGCTTGGGTGAACTGCAGCTCATACAGACAACAAACGTCGCACGACTCCGGGTCAAAAAAAATCACCAACCCAACAGGCAGCATAGCAGAGGCACAACCGGTGATTGTCCCCCAGAGACAAGGGGACAGACCAACCTTCTATCTCGCACAAAGCGAGAGGGGACTCAATGGTCACATCCATTGGACCACGGAGCCCCCGCAGAGGTTTCCCAGGGCCCTTAGCCTTATTAACACTCTAAGAGAAGCCCAGGCAGGGTACTGCAAACCGGCACCCAAGACTACCAAACATCTGCTAATAAATACCTGGTATGCATCCACTCACAGAGTCCTAGCAAGGAGTACCACCAACCACACAAAAACTGAGAATAGATATAATGATAGATTTATACACCCCAACACAGAAGGGACAACCACCAAGGCAGACCACCCCCCCCCCTCACCAGGAAGAAAAACAAAAACAAAAGTAAAACCCTGCAAGAGGACAACGTACTCAGGTGGAACAGAGCCGGCCACTGTAAGAGGTGAAACCTAGCTGTGCAGTACCCTGGGCTTCTACCAGTGACAAAAACTACCCCGACCCAGAGGCAATCATGGGCAACAAAGACCTCAGAGGACTCCTAAGGTGGCCAAGTACCGAGCAGTAAAAGACACAGCGGGGGTAGATCCTGAGGTGACATGTGGAAGGTGGCCCCAAGCCCCAAGGGCAGTACTTACAGGGCACCTAGGGAAGGTGACCTTAGGCACATGCAGCCCGAGTACTGAAGAATATTACTCCTGGCTTGAACACCACCAGTAACAACAGTCCACACCACAAGGCACAGTAACCGAGACAAATCACTGGAGCCAGGGCACAAGATCATGCCAGTAACATATCAGCCTGAGAACTGCAGAGTGGATTGCCAGCATGGGGGGTCTGGTGCTCCCCCTTCCCCCTTCTGGGGAAAGGGGGTGCGCAGACAGCGGCGCTGCGACATAATGACGTCATGCTCATTTGCTAATTTTCGTTTGGGGGAGTTCTGTCCACTCGTTCGGCTTTTGGTAGCAATAGTTTCACCAGAATAAGGGTTTGTTTTGGGGCGCCTACCTTTCTGGGTGCCTGATCCAGTCTATTGCAGACATAGAATGCTCACAACCACACGGGGGTTTCTATAGGCCATTGCTCCTTGTACCTCTCTTGAGGGGGGTCAGGTTCTGACTCATGGTCCCCGGTAGGCAAGAACTCCGTGAACATTGATGCCAGAAAGTTATACATATCCATTCAGCCTGGATAGCTCCGGGGAGCCGATGGGGCTCCCCTCCAAAAACTTGACAATAATAATGAAAATGGAGCATATCATGATGACTACTGTGGCCTAGGTTATTTACAAATGAAAAATACATTTAAAGGGTTAAATACTCAGTGTGTTTTATAGTCAAACTCATTTGAGAATAAACAGTCCAAAAAATTAAGTGGCTAAAGCTATGAAAAAGTGACCAAGATAGAAATGCCACTCCGTGGGGGTAGTAGAACCTACCATAAAGCCAATGTATCAAAATGCTGGTGTCTGGCAAAAAATAAAAAATCTAAAAAATAATAGCAGAAAAGAATAATCTGAGAAGAAGGGTGTTCGTATGAAGAACAATAATTCACCCAAAGATGTTGCCTGCAAAATTCAGCAAATTATAGGATTGAGAAGAGTGTACACAGATGGTTAGATCATGTTAAACAAATTAATTCAAAAGGAATATTAGGGAAGAAAATGGCAGACATTCTACATGTAGTCAAGGATTGAGTATGAAAAAGTGTATGAACCTGGCTAGGTTGACACAGGTAAGAGGGAGTGAATATGTTGCATATCTGTACACAACTCATGGCTGTACTTTAGACAAGTCTTATGAAGCAGTATTGTACTGCTGTAGAAGATTTGCTGGAGCAGTATTACTTTTTGCTGTTATGTTGTTAAATTGTGGATGGTATGGAGAATTGACAAGTGCCATTTTGAATATCTAATACTTTTGTCAATACCACTCTCTTAATTTCTCTAGGCAAATGCCTCATCACTCCATGAAAGTAGAAAACATAATATTGATGTTAACTTTATTTCAAGAATACAATATATATTTCAAGACTAAACAAAATCATAAAGACTTACCTCTACTCGGACCGTTAAGTTGTATTCCTTTATACTTTCGTAGTCTAATGGATGGTTGACTTTGATATCCGCCCAGGTATCCCCATTGTCCGGCCGTTGTTGTAAATAGAAGGTATCATGCTTGTTGGTCTGAGCTGTGGATCCACGGATGATTCGATAGAACACTACCGGGTTATCCTTTATACCAGAGCTGTAGTAGTATCGTTGTACCAGGGTGGGGAATGATGGTCACATGTTAGCTTTTGAATTGGAGGGATGAAATTGTTGGCAAATCATTGAACAAAAAGTCAGTAAAAATTATATTTTTATATTTTTCACAAACTTGATTTATCAAAACCCATGTCAGTTTTCATGAAAATAAACTGTACAGAAAAATAAAAATATGTGGTTACTAAGTACTCGCAGTGCTAATTTTTTTAAGATTCCTACTACCTCTATCTAATATAAAATATTCTTTTGGACATCTGTCTTTCAACTAAGATCTGACTCCTTGTTTGATGTCACACTAGTCGACTAGTTTTATATAATCTATATGACACTAGTACTGTAAGCAAAGACGGAGCTAACGTTTTATATACAGGACTGAGAGTGCAGCAAATATTCTGATAAACTAAACTGGACTGCTGCATTAACTACTGTGCTCTATTTCCGAGTTAGCAACTATTATGCATCGGAGTTCAAAGTGCACTTCCTGCTCAGTTGATCTACAATGTGCATCTACTAAAGCCTAGAGTGTGTGTCTGTTATTCAGAATGTGCCAAAGATCTTCTGCCACAATTGTGCTGTACAAATTGTCACTTCAAAATCCTTATGATCCAAGAAATACTCAGCTATCAAGGAAAATATTTTAAGCAACTAATGGAGACCTAAGTATGTGTTTACCTCGACAGCATTAACTGAACTTGGAAGATGAGAATTTTAAAGTGACTAAGGTGAGACCTATTACTTGGTAAGAGTGAGGCCAGATCAGATGGGTGCATCTTCTATTCCACGTGTACGCATTTTGCCGAAACTGGTGCTATTTAAGGCCAAAAACGATCTTGACTAAATAGCTCCTGTGAATGGTATGGGCCGCCCAGCCTCTGTCCAGCCTAAAGAAACACTGCAGACCAAATCCTCAGCAAACTGAAAGTGCTATAAACTACACGAATGGTGGCCGATGACAAAAAAAAAAAAAATAATAGCAACCAAATGAAAAGTTGCATCAGCACAACAATCATAATGATCCGATTACAGGCACTGCACAGGGAATAGCAAGAATAAAAATGCAAAACAAGAGACTGCATGTGCCATGACAAGAGACAATGAGCGTTGTCCAAAGTCGTGCCGAGGTTCTCTCCCTCGTCATTACACATTTAAGCATTCAGTCAACTGAAAAAGGCAACATACTTTGAAAGCCTGCTTGTATCTTAGACCCTCAAGCCCTATGCCTAGTTATCTAATAACTAACAAACTGCACTACTGCATAACTCCGGGCTACAGCTTGGCTGTTTCAAATAATAAAAAATAAAAAACAAATTTTATTTAATTTCTAACTAAGGTTATCTCTGTTTCAATAAAACTTAGGGGGTTAATTTGCAAGTTTATTCACTAAGAAATTATCAAACTCTGGATGCAAACTTAACTCTCACCATTCACATAGCAAGCAGACACTGGTACATATCATGCTGTCATAACCCGTCCTTAGGGTGAGCAAAACTGTTATGGACATTCAGGGCCGAGCTTATATTCAGAGTAGCTATTTATTGGTTCGTCAGGCAAAATGGTAAGATTTGTGCAGGTTTAATTCATTCTTGTGTCAAAGTAATAAAAAATTAATGCATACGTACTCTAAAAATTAATATACTGTATACTGGTGCCATCACAGAAATTTTGAATTAATAATTTGCTGTTAATTCCTAACTACAAATACAGTAATTATTGATTAATAAGTGGCCAGTGCTAGACCTAAAGCTATGCTAGTTAAGTCCTGAAAATCTAACAATTGGGTTTTGAGCATATTTACTGATAAACAAAAATTTCACAAAAAACAAAAATCAAATTCTGAGATACAGTGAAAAGTTTATTAAAGAGGTAAGAGTTAAGAAGAGTAATGGGTACATGCAAGGCTAGTCATGCTAAAGGATCGTGCAAATGTTACGTGCTATAATGCTCATGCATGTTTGCTGAGGCAGGGCTTGGGAGCAACGGGTCAACGTGCCAAATGCTCCAAATCTTCAAACAGCCCGGATATCTGAAGCAGCACATCACACTCAGTGCTCAGGTATTACCTCATGTGGACACCCTTAGATAGTCTTTCATGAAAATACTTACATGACCGTCTTAAAAATTTAAGCAATGACATTACAATCAATATTTTAGAATGTCAGCCTAATAAAAGCTCCTGATATATGAATGGCAATGTTCTGGTAAAGGTGTCAGCATAAGTGAGTGTGAGGTGCCTGCAGGAGCAGACCATCGCGTGCGGGGCAGACAGGCCCAAAGGGTCTGGTCGAGCAGCACAACAGACCTGGCCTTCACTGAGATAACTCCTGCCCCTACTGGCAAGTTTTCCTTGATGTAAATGGGGCCATAGATGGACTGGGTCCATACAGGAGGGTTGTTGGCGCGATCCACTACATCAATCTGAACGTCCACCGTGCGAGACAGTGGAGGGAACCCACGGTCCTGAGCTACGGCGGTCAGCCGGTACGATTCTCGCTGTGCACAGTTGTGGAGAGAGCGAACATTAGGGTTAGTAATGTTAGTGTCTTTGTAGACTCTCTAGGCTACCTTTAGGAGACTTTAATGGCATAAACAAAAATTATTTAGGAAAAGAAAAATCTGCCACAGGTTTAACTGCGCTGGAAACTATGAAAAAAAGAGTAGTACACTATAAGCGGCGGAGAGGGTGCTGCAAGGGGCGTGGGTGTTAGTACAGATTGGTTACCCCGGCCCGGCCCAGCAGACCCCCCTAGCAGCACAGCAACACTAGCTAGTAACTAGTGGGAGCTTGGTAGTGACTACACGGCGGCAGTGGAATTGCCTGGCGGGAGAGGCCTGGGAGGAGAGTTAGTGGCCTGCTAGCGGCCCGCCCGGCATCATCCACCACCCACTACCAACCTGGCCTTGATGGAGTAGACGTTCTGACCCACACTAATATTCTCTGGGATCCTCTTGGGCTCATAGACCCGCTGATCCCACACGGGTGGGCGGTTGGCTCGGTCCACGATACTGAGACGAACCAGTACCTCCGAGGTGAGAGGAGTTTGACCCTGGTCCGTGGCAGTTACAACCACCTCGTACTCCCCGCGCTAATCAGACACACAACATTCACCACATCCGCCACATGGGGGAGAACGAGTCACAAGGTCAAAATCAGGATTGGGTAAAAAAAATGCTCAAAACCTAGTGGAATAACAGTTAAAAATATTAAATCTTGGACATGAAATTACAGTACACATAAAAACTCAGAAGAATAAAACATAAGGTTCAAAACACGAGTACACAGGGAATTAAGGACATATGGGAACAAAAAGACAATTCCTGACAAACAGCAGGATTTCTCAAGGGATGTTCACTCAAATGCCACATTAAAATACATACTGACGATAAAACAATACCCCTAAGTATCTACCTTAATACTTGTATGTTAAAGGTAAGGCTGGTAGGTTCCTACATGGCCTTGTATAGCACTGCTTACACCCAAGATTAATGGGTCAAACACTCTAAGAAGGTAGAGGCTTGTGATCTGTATTACTCAGGATGTTAGACGTACCACAGAAGGTTCAGGTTTTCTGCAGCGTGTTAATATCAGCAAGGATTACTGCAACTGGCAAGGCATAGATATTACTATTTAAGAATGTAAAAATGTAATCATATTCTGATACTTACTGGCACACATTCACTTACAACAGGCAGACATGACTTGATTTAAAGTGGTAGAAAGAAAAAGTATTAATTATAATGTGTTACTCTTTGCCATTACATTTATTAAATAAACTGTAGAGCAGTGCCAAATAAGAAAGTATTAAATATTGAGTTCAACTTAATAAATTAGTTAAACCTTCTTGAAAGCCAACCAAGTATTTTGAAAATAAGACTGCAAATTAGCTTTTAATTCCTTTAAGCCTAAAATTAATAGAATTGAATAAAATCCCATTCTAGAAGAACTAGGCAATTATAAGCAGTGCATTTTAAATTAACTAGCTCTAGACTCCTGCCTTGTTCCAACTGATGATAATTTATCATGCGGACAGGTTAACAACCATTCATGTTACCGCTATTGCACAACATTCATGTAAGTGCTCCTACGGTTCCTACACTTACTTGGTAAAGCATCTCTTTCAACTCTTTATATTTCATGTAACCGGTGTGTCTTACATAACTTTTAAGAAAATAATCCTAATGCAAAAACTGTCCAATATCAACTGCATGGTCAATGAAGTTCCCGAATGAAGATAAACCTAACATGACAGCCAATGTCAGCTTCAAGGTCAATCAGGTTCATTACCAAGACATAGCCAGCCTGCTCCATTTCACGAAAACAAAACAAAAGATGTATGTCGACTATTCTACTCGAACATTAAATGTCCTAAAAAATTCTAAAAAAGTGATATCAAACAACACAGCACATATAAACAAAATGTACTTTTATTTTTGTGATAAAATTTTGTAAACTACAAAAAATAACTTAGAAGGAACAGATGTAGTTCTTGAAGGGCTATAATAAAGTGTTGTCATCAGGGCAGTCTTGTCTAAGGGTACTGTTGATAGAATCACAATCATTGTTCTGAGTACAGAACTTAATTCATAATAAAAACCACACGCTAAAATTTAAGTATCATGAGACAACGAGAAATATTATTTATTTGTACTAATCTAAGACTCATTTGTATCTTTGAGTATCAATAATCATCTATATTTTAAAGCATGATATTAGAAAAAATACAAAAATACTGAGTGATTTAACAATATTAAGAGGGCCTGGGGAGCACTTTAAGAGATGTTTTTATGAAAATAAAAACATTAAGTCAGACTGCTAGAGTAGACTCAGTGCAATAAATATCAATCTATTTTAGTACAATTTAAAAAGGTTATAATGCCCCAATTGCATTATATTTAACAATTTATTTATATAAATTAAATTTCTTTCATATTTTGCTTAAAACAAAGAGTTTACTGTGACCCTTATGAAGAGCAAAATAATTTTAATGGAACTTTTAATAAAATTGAGAAATACAATAATTAAGTTCCCTAATTGCTATCTAATCTTCTCAATTACATAGGAAAAAGCCTATATAATTTAATTATCTAAAATTTTGTAAAACTAGTCATTAATCGTTGCCTACTCCAGTTTCCACCTGTTCCACTCGTCTTTGTGTACTGCATCCATAATATGCATCTTCATTTCACTGCACATTCAAACAATTCTCTCTAATAACTAAGTTCCCCGTTATTGGTACTTACGTCTAGAGGCTTCTTCAGTATTATCCACCCTGACTCTGGTTGGACCTCAAAGTAATCCAGGTCACCTGGATTTGATGCTGATGTCAGGTTGTAGATGATTGCACCGTTGTTATCAGCATCTTCATCCGAGGCAGACACACGCAAAATATTCGTTCCCACATTTGTGTCCTGCTTCACATTCTCTATATATTTCTGAGAAAGAGATGAATAATGGTTAATGTAAAGTTATTCCGAAGTATATAGAGTCCTATGGCTGTCCAGAAGGCATGATAGGAATAATGGTTAATGTAAGACTACTCGGAAAAATGTTCAAGTCCTATGGTTGTCCAGAAGGTGTGTGTGTGCGGGGAGAGTAATAGTTAATATTAGTGATGGGACGATACTAAAACTTCTGATAATTCTGATACTGATGAAGACCCCATTAAAACGTCTCAATTCCAATATGATTATCGATTCCAATTCAGGTTCTTTAAAAAAAAAAAAAAAAGTTGGATACTTATTTTTCTGAAAATTTCTGTATTTTTGTTTGAAAAAATTAATGCTTAACATTATGAGCATGTTAATGTATTAATAATATAAAAGATTGACTTAAGAATAGAAAACAATTGGTAAATCCAGCTTAATCTTCTGGAAGAAACCTAAAAATTGAAAATATTCCATTATACATGAGACTGTACTGGTACAATAAAATACTGTACAATACTCTACATTATTATGTACTGTACAATATTATGCACTGTACAATATTGTACAATATTATGTACTGTACAATAAACTAATGTACAATACTCTACATTATTATGTACTGCATAATAAAATACTGTACAATACTGTACATTATTATGTACTGTACAATATTATGCACTGTACAATAAAATACAATTTGAAATCTTATTTCAAATAAAGTTAATATTGCAACACTAAATTAAAGCATAGCTTATTCCATTTTACTCAAGTAATCCTTAATGTACAAAATACACGATAAATAAACACAGAAAACACTCCATTCCCCATCACATGTGTACATGTTGTAAAAGTTTACATTACAGTAACATTTATAATATTTTTTTTTTTTCAAATAAAATTACAGTGGAACCTCGAGTGACGAGCACCTCAATCTACGAGCATTTTGAATAACGAGTGCACCAATCGGCGAAAATTTGTCTCGATTGACGAGCTTTTGTTTGATTAACGAGAAAAGCACATGCTGCTCCCTAATGTTCCCGCTGGTTCTCACAAATTCTCAGACACCTCCGATGATGCAAATAACAGTTTTTTTATTTTGTTTTAAAGATGCTAATGAAGCTGGGATGTAAAAGGGTGACTGCTGTAATGTTGCTAAGCATTGATTTGGATTTTTTAGACAAAATTGGGGAAAATTGGGGAAAAAAAATTGAAAAAGTACAAATGTTAAAAATGTTCGTTCAGTGAATGTCCGGTTGGCTGCTATATTTTCTAAAAAAAAGAATTGAAAAATAAAAAAAAAATGAAAGAATTTGAAAAAAAATGTCATAAAGGTTTGTTCAGTGATGGTCAGGTAGGCTGCTCCATTTTTTTTAAATTAAAACAAAAAAAAATATTGGAAGAATTTGAAACAAGACAAATGTCATAGAGGATCATTCAGTCTATGTCAGGTAGGCTGCTCCATTATTAATAAAAAATATGACAATTACAAAACAAATTTAACAAATTTGAAAACAAAACAAAGAAAAAAATGTCATAATGGAGCATCCTACCTGACAAACACTGAACGAACCTTTATGACATTTCTCCTTATTTTAAATGTGTTCATTTTTTCCATACAAAATTGCAGCAGGCTACCTGACATGCACTGAATGGACCTTTTTCTATATTTTTTTTTTTTTTTTTTTTTTTTACAAATCTGAAAAAAGACAAAATGTCATAAAGGTTTGTTCAGTGTATGTCAAGTAGGCTGCTCCATTTTCTTTAAAAGAAATGAAAAATAAAAAAATAAAATTGAACAAAATTGAAGAAAGAAAAATGTCATAAAGGTTTGTTCAGTGTATGTCAGGTAGGCTGCTCCATTATTTAAAAAATCGAATATCATATTGATGTTTTTCAGTGGTAAAACGGATTAATTTTATTTCCATTATTTTAAATGGGGAAATTTGTTTTGAAAGACGAGCGTTTCACATGATGAGCTCGATGCCGGAACGGATTAAATTTGTTAATCGAGGTTCCACTGTACATTGCAATAGTAAAATGAAACTCTTGGGTATAATACTTGGCTGTTAATTATCATAATTTAAACCATTTTAATTATTACCTGAAACAAAAGATTTATTTTGTTATTAATGTTAAGTTGTTTTATGAATCAGAAATCACGATAAATTTACCTCTACTCTAATTACTGATCAATGCTCGATTCTTCCGATTCTCGATCCCAATTCCAATTACAGTAATCATCCCATCACTAGTTAATAAGAGACTACTCTGAAGAATGTTCAGGTCTTATGGTTATCCAGGTGTGAGGAGAGTAATTAAGGTATGACTACCGTACTCTGAAGATTGTCTCCCAGTTTTTTTAATCATCCAATACCCAAAAAATTAAGCAAGTACTGTATTATCCATGAGAACAAGGTAAGAAATAGTCAATGTCATCACATGAAAGACATTTATACTATTCTCTATTTTCTATGTAAAATTGTTCAAATACCTCATAGGTATAAAAAACTAAATTTATGTAACTCATGAACAAATTACAAGAGACTTGTTCTGCCCAGAACAGAGAAACACTAGTAGCTTTAATCCATTAAAAGTTTAATAATAGAAATGTGAAACACATTAAAAAGGCTACAAGATGGTGTCTGTTCGATGACAATTTAATACACTAATGTATATAATAATGGAGACTTTAGTTATTGTTAATGTAGCATTAAAGCATTTACCAAAAGACAAATGAGATAATTCTATAAAGAAAACCTGCATAGAATGTAACGAAATGCAATTTCTGAGCGAAAGCATATTTCACTAACATGGTCTCTAACTACTAGATTGCATCAGCCGTAGACCTCAGTTTGGCCTACCAGAGAACAAAGCCAGAACCTGGCACCCCTCACAGAAGTGCAGGAAACAGGCGACACTCCTCCACCTCTCTTGGTAAGGCACCCAGAAAGTCAGTGAACCAATACAGACCACTGCTGGTTTCACAAGAGACCAAAGCCTCAACCCGCTGAATGAACTCGCCAAAAATATAAACAAATGATCAATAATCTCTTGGAACAAGTGTGTGCTAGTTCCCCACACCCTTCCCACTCACTTGGGAAAGAAAGGGGGCTGGGGCTCACGCTGTTCACTGGTTCAAGTTATCTAGAGCAGATACACACACAAAACTTCCCAACCGCCGACCTGGAAGGTATGGGGGAAATAGGGAGACACCAGGGCTCACCCAGAAATTGGCATTTCACTACATTTCATTCAATGCTGTTTTTCTGTGGGAAGCCCCTTATGACTCCCTGAAGCTAACTACCCACAGAGAAAAAAAACAAGGACTCACCAGGGAGGAGGAACCATAGGCAGTCAAAATGAATGTGAAACACCAGGCCAAGAAACACGACCCACTGCTTAATGCGACCACAAGGGTTAATGATAAAGCCTGAGAACATTAACCAAGTACTGGGCCACCAGTACCCTGTTCAATTACCAGAACCAAAAGTAGCAAGACTGACACCCCACAATGAAACCTAACCAATTCCTGAGCTGATAATGAATAGAAATGTACCAGTACACATCCAGGAGATTCAGGGATGTGACCCAGGAGCCCGTCTCTAATATGAGATGAACCTGGGCCAAAGAGGTCAACCACAACGTAGGCCAGGGAATTAAGTGGTTCAACCTTAACAGATTGTGGATAAACTGGAGCGCTACCGAGTTTACCAGAAGCACCAGAGTCAGCCATGGCTTACTGACAACCAAAGGACCCTACTGCAGATGTGTACCCGCCAAATACACGACGAAACTACGACATTGCTACAACGTGCAAACAAGTTTTAACACCTAACAATTTTAACAACCAATATAACATGTTTTAGAAACATTCTAATACATCATAAAAATGTTATAACAAGATGTAACAGCTTTATTACAAGTTGTAATAAGGGAATCATAGGGACCGTTATGTTGTGGTGTTTGCAGGGTAGCATGTGCTCCCTCAGCAAACGAACTCATGGCTTGAACCAGTGGACAGCATGAGCCCCAGCCCCTCACCCTCCCCAAGTGAGTGAGAGGGGCGGGGTGAGGAGGGAAGGAGGCTTTTATGACCCAGGTATTTACGTGGTTCCTAACTGTACAATTTATAAATGTTATACATATCATCACACCTCATTTAGTTATGTATTGCAGTTGTCTATATTCCTGAACTCAGTTTCATAGTGCTGTTATGATACATGCATTCTTATCTTATTTTATTGTGTTGCAGATGCTATTATATTACATTGTTCTTGGTATAGTATTAAGAGGTGTGGGTTGTATTATACAGTTTGAGAGTTGGTTAGTGGAAGCGGTATATGTGTATAATCACTTGTGCTGAACGGGTATTTGACACGATTGGTTTGAGTGCGAGTCGATTGTACCAGCTGTGTGTAATTAAAGGGAAATTATTTTCTGAGTAGGAAGTATAATTATATAAGTACAGTATCGTGTTTCTAGTAATGTTTAATGTATTTAATACTTATGTTAATAAGTGTATGGTACAGTTTATCACAGTGAGGAACTGTGGCTTTTTTGTTATAATTACGTGGCGTTGTGGCTACAATGTGTCCGAGAAGCTCGCTTTGCCACTGTGAGCAAATGTCGAGTCAGCTGCAGACGGGTTGTGGAAACGACTGGTTGTACCAGCTGGAAGTTAGGTAGTATTGTTTATTTGCTTGGTGCCATGTTGTTTGCAATGAGTCCGGTATTCATGCGATTTATTATCAAGTTGTGTATATCAACGTGTGTCAGAGTGGTCATAAGCCCATAATTAGTTAATTATTATTCTTGTCTGTACAGTACTTTGTTTTATTTTTTTATTAAGTAATAAATGAAACACAGTAAACTGGTGTTTCATTCTTTTAAAAATAGTTGTTTTAATTAATGAATCCTGTAATTAGCAATTGTGGGAACCAGTCAATAAGAAGCTTCAGAAGCTGCTTCCAGGAACACGAGCTTCACCAAGTGCAATTGGTAACGGG